GTGTTCCGTACAGGGCTGCCAGTCAGGGGCAAACGACTGCGGAAAATAATGTTTTGGCAGGGGCATCAGTTTATTTTCTCTTATGAAATGTTAAGGACTCTTTACCCATGGCTGGAGATTTTTAACCCAGAGGTAAAGGGAAAATCTTGCTTATAGAATTAAAACCCTTTTAGAGAGGGACACCTATCCTGGAAGAGCCCCTCTTCACCACTGCCAATGCACAGTGTCCCTGTGCAACTCAAATCTATTTTCTGGGCAAGAAAAGGAAACTCTGTACATCTGACCATTCATATGTTAGCCCGGTGTCAAAGCTCTGGGCTGAAAATAACCTGAAATCCCTTTCACAGATTGCTCTGCATGACTGCACATGCCTGCCTCAGAGCCCCTCCCACCCTCCCCATCATCCACTCATTAACATTTGTTTTCCTGGCATAATTCCTCAGAGTTACATCTTATATTTAAGCCTGGTCTAGTATCATTTCAGGACAAGCCACACTTTGCGTACTTGGTTGACCTTCCAAACGTCAGATCTGTCTCTCCCCTTCTCTACTTCTTTCATTTGTCAAGTTGTCATTATCCCTCATTCAAACCACTGACACAAGCCCCGGAGCTGATGTCTCTGCCTTCCATCTGTTTTATAACCAAGCCTCACTCCGCAAAGATCTCTAAAACACAAGTATGGTCGCATTTGCCCCCATCGGTCAGCAGCTCCCCATCCTGTGCCCTGGCCTATCGTTTCCCAGCACATCACAACTTGAGCCCTACCTGCTCGTTCTCCTTCTGCCTCCTTCCCACAAGTTCTATAAAAAAACAAAACAAACTGACAACTGCTAGAACCCTCATGCCACAGTCTGTCTCGTCTCAAGGGTTTACACATGCCCTCGTTTCTACCTGGAATTTTCTTCCCCACTTTTTCTGCCTATTGAATTCGTCTATTCATCATTTAAGACTAAACTCAAACGTCACCATTCTGTTCAAGCTGTCTGTTCTGGACTCCTCAGTGGCCAGAGATGCTGTACCCTGTTTTTCTTTTACTTTTTTAAGATTTTATTTATTTGAGGAGAGAGAAAGTGCTCATGTGCCAATGAGCACCACTGAGGAGAGGGGCAGAGGGAGAAGCAGAGTCCCTGCTGAGTGGAGAGCCCAAAGCTGGGCTAAATCCCAGGACCCAGAGATCATGACATGAACTAAAGCCAGATGCTTAATGGACTGAGCCACCCATGTGCCCCCTACCCTGTTTTTCAATAGTACTTTTCAGGAACTAATTTTACCACTTCAAACACAGCACTGTAATTCTTTCTTGACTTTATACTTCAGTATAGAGGAATCACTTAAGGGTAGGAGCTATCCTATTTCCAGGGCATAGAATAAGGCCTGATGCACAGCAGATTCTTAATTATTTCTTGAATAACTGAAAATTACTCAGACATCCGCAACACTGCAGGTTGAAGCATGTGAATAAGAGTCCTAGAATATCTCCCATAAAGAAAAATGCTAATGAATATCTTGGGGAACATGGGCCGTTTCTCAAACACCAAAACCATGAAACACACTGAATTCAATATATTGACCTTTATTCCTTTCCATGTTAAATACTGTTACAGCTAATCTTTTTTTGTGCATTATACAAGGCAAGTTGAGGATAGGGACCTGAGGTATCTTATTCAACCCAATAGTCCAGCTGCTCCAGTGCCATTTTCTTATGAACAGACCTGCCTGGAAAACACTTTAGCTCCAGCTCACTCTCCATACTTTCATCTTCCTTGAATGGTAGTTATGGTTACGCATACCATCTCAAGTAGGTTGTATGCTCTTCCAAGTGAAGAAGGGTCTAGGCGTCTTTTTATCCTGGAAGAGTGCCTTGCACACGGTAGGTATTCAATTCATACCTGACAAATGGCTTAGAAAACATTAATTGAGGAAAACATGAGAGAATTTGAAAATGAAACTTCGACGGTGATATTTTCCCTCATTGCAGAAATAACTTAGCATTAAGCTCTTCGTGGCAAGTGTAACTCAGTGCACAAACTGACGGGCTGACAATCCATCTATCTGGGAATGGGACACACCTATCCCCAAAAAGCATGCCGGGCCTGTGTGTGGTTGCATCATTCTCTACCTACAGAACCAGTGTTATAAATGGCCTTACCTGGTGCTGTGGGGGGGGGGGGGGGGGGGGGGGGAGGCTGTTTGCATCTTTTGAATGACCTCTCAACAAATGGCTTATACTTGTGAGATTATGAATGGGTATAATAAGGGGGATTGAGATGGAATTCTTCATGTAAAATTTGAAAGAATTTACACTGAAGTATAGTTGACATATAATGGTATATTAGTTTCAGGCGTACGACATAGGGACTCAACAATTCTACACATTACTCAGTGCTCACCACGGTAATTAGGCCCACCATCTGTGAGACTGAATTTTCTGAGCAAGTTTGATCTCTGCTCTCTTAGGGTGTATAACCCAATATCTCTAAGCAGTGTGGAAGGGGAAGGGCCAAGAAGGAGCTCTAGTTTGGCTCACAATGAGGTCTGTGTTTCTCTGAGGTCACCAGTTTCATTGGATGATTTCGGTTATTTTACTTTTGCGGGGGTGGGTTGGGGAGGAGGGAGGATGATATTCAAGTAAAAGAGGCAAGGGAGACCTAGATTTTAACCATCACATATGTTTGGCCATAATAAGGGAAAAGTAAACTGACAAAGCTTTTGGAAGTGATGCTATTCTATGTAGGTAAGGGTCCGAGGCTTGTTTCTTCAGTAAGAAGCCAGACATAAGGAGATAAGAGGAAAGTCTGGCTATTTCTGGGAGCCTGGGTCCCTGCTAGAATGGGGAGGGGTAGAAGCTCTTGTATAGGGAGAAAATTCATATTTGTATGAGAGCTGTCTTGTCCATGGCCCTGATAAAGACCGCTGATAAAGACCGCTCTTGGCGGTTCCCAGCCATGACTATACCCCAGAATCTCTAGGGAGCTTTGAGAAGAACCTGGCTGACTCTGGGCAACCGCCCCCCCCAACCCCAGAGATTCCAATTTAATTAGTCTGGTCCAGTCACCATATTTTTAAAAGCTTCCCAAGTAATTAAGTACAGCAGAGTTGAGAACTAACTACTTGGCCCCATAAAGAAATACGGGGGCAGGAAAGGGGAAACACAATAGAATAAATCACTTCCACTTTTTCCCATCAGAATTAGGCAACATTTCCAAAAGTGTGATAAGACCATAGATGATCCTTGAGACAGGATTTGATTCGACGGCACACGGAGAAGCCGTCTCTGTATATATGTCCCATATATACATACAGGTACCCTTACCCATCCTTACATATATACATACATGTGTAAATATATATCTTTGAGTAAATATTAGAAAAATACCCCCAGTATATCAAAGTTGCGGACTCATGTGTATTATTGTTTAGGATGAGGCTTAAAGTAGGTGCTAAAGTTTAGGAAGGGAATTGAAGTGAACATTCTGTAAATTCTAGAACAGGTGGAATGCGGATTTGGCAAAAACTTGTAAAAGAGGTATGCAAACAACTGGAGTTTGAGAAACATGGCACTGAAGCAGCCCAGAACTTACACAAGCTTTCTCCCCAGATCCTACTGTTCCGAGCGCATCTCCCCCACACCCAGCAGAGCCCGGGCCCAGTGCCATCCTCTCCCTCCTCTTCTCACATGGATGCCTGTGCCTCATCCCAAGTACTCAGATGCTTCTGAACTGGGCTCAGACTCAAACCAGCCTCTTCCAGCCTCGCCATCACGATCCGATTACTGATGGCGTAGCCTGTAACTCCCCTGTCTCCTTTTTCAGATTCAAATCTGAGCTAAACTTAACTTAGCACGCCTTAGCCACCTTAGCATAATAGGGCAGAAAACCAATGCTCACAAGGCGTTGGAGCCCCAGGAGCACAAAAGTGAAACTGAAGCGACCAAATCCAGGTTATGCAAACTCAAAGGAACAGGTGAGGGAAGGGAGATGAAAACTCCTGACCCACCAAACAACATCAGCCTCCAGGAAGGGCAGAGCCCTGCGCTCTGGATTTGCCTTTCTCAGGCGATGATGCAACTGTGAGTTGCCCAATTTATGTTTGCACATTTCCCCTGGTCCACGATGAGTTCCAAAAGCTTCCAACTCCATAAAATTGCCTTTAAAAAGTTTCAGTCTCTAGTCCGATAAGGTTGCCAGTCAGGCCAGGTGACCTCACCTTCACTTGGACCCAGGAAAGTGTTCTGAGAAGGTGTGGAGGGGCACAGGTCCACTAGAAGCCAGAAGGTGCAAAGGTGGGCAGCGAGGAACCCGACAGCCACGTTTCCTCTGCCGCTCTCACACCCACTGCCCTAGAAAGGGCCAAGGGCACGGTTCATACTTGACCTTTTCCCCTGCCCTGCCTCCTAAACCCTGCTCCTCTCCCCAATCCAAAGGGCACTAATAATGGCAAGGGGTGTGGCGGGGGGGGGGGGGGGGGGCGGGGAGCCCAGGTCTTAAACCGGCCTTCTCTTCCTGGTAACTCCCGCCTCGGCTTTTCACATCTTGGCCGACTCCAGGTCACTCAGTCACCGGCTGGCTACACCTTTGCACCACCCAACAAAATGGCAGGTTAGCAACAGGCGAGGCCCAGAGCGCCTGCTCTAGCTCTAGCCAAGCGCGGCCCCCGGCCAAGCCTCCGGGGGTCTCCGGCAGTGCCCCAAGCCGAAACACCCTTCCCCTCTGAAAGGCCCCAATCCGGGGCCCCGCCGGGCAGTCTGCTCGCTCTCTCGGGGCGATTTCTGTCGCCAGCGGGGGAGCAGGTGCCAGCGTAACAGGTGCCAGGAGAGTGGGCCCAGGTTCGGGCCGCTCCAGGCAGGGAGAGGGCAGAACCCCAGGAGGGGCGCAGGTAAAGGCCAGGTCGGGGGGAAGGGAGCTGGAGCGCGCGCACAGGGAGACAGCCCCGGGAGCAAGGATGCCGCTACCCTTCCTCGCTCCCCCCGGCGCGACCGTCACCGAGGCTGCCCCACTTACAATCTCCAGGCAGACGAAGGCACCCGAGTAGGTCCGCAGGATGTCCGGACCGGCGGGCAGAGTGATCCGGGGCGCCGGGAAGGACACGGCGGGGTTCGGGGGCGGCGGGACTGGCGCTCCGCCGGCCGACATGCTGCCGCTGCCGCTCTGCGTCTCCGCGAGCCGCCGCCTCCCTCCGCCCACCTCGGCAGCCCGGGCTCCCGCCGCCGCCGCCGCCGCCGCCGCCGCCGCTCGGGTCCGCGGGGTCCGGGCGCGCCGCGCGGGAGGGGGCGTGGCCGCGCGGCCTCGAGCCGCGCGGGGCCCCGCCCTGTCACGTGGGCCCAGGTGAGCCCGCCACGGCCACCCAGCCCGCGCCCGTCACGTGCACAGGTGCAGCGGCCACCTGGCGCGGTCCTTTCTGCTCCGCTCCGCGCTCCCCTCGCGCGCCAGCGCCCCGCTCTTTGTTTCTAATATCCCTCTTCTTAGTTTCCACCTGCCCTTCCCCCCGCCCCCAGTCTCACAACTACCCTACCCCACTTTTCTCAACTTAACTACCAGACAGGTCTTGAAGTTGTGACCCAGAAGGTAAAATTAAGGTCACCAGTCACACCTAATGTGACTAATCCTACAATAGCAGGATTTAAAAAAAAATACCACTAGGACAGAGTCAGATGGCTCAGCCTCAGTGGCAGTGGACGCTGGACAGGTAACTGGCTTCTTTGTGCGCGGGTGGTGTGCTCATCTGTGAAATGGGGGTACGGGTATTTACCCGCTGTGATTGCCCAGATTACATTAACATAGAAAGAGCTTAGCGCATGGTCAGCGCCCCCTTAATGGCAGCTGATATGATGACTGATATTTTTTTGAATTTTTACGCATACACATATCTTGCACTGTGTACACATGGTTGCATAGGCTATATTTTCCACATAAAACTTAAATTACTGATTTTTACTTGTCTGCAACTTATAAATTGTTGTTGTATCTTAAACACTTAAATGGACTTTTTAAGGGATGCTATGTATAGTTTAGATTCCCTGCCCCAATTTATCCCCATTTTATCTTTAATTTTTTATATCAACATTTTGTAAGTGAAATAAAGGATGTGAGATTGATCTTCTCAAAGATCTGCTGAATATAAATAAAAGTACACATACCAGCATACACAGGTAGATCATACTGGAAAAAAATATTTGCTAACATCATCAGGCGTTCTCCAGATGGAATACTGATCTTGTCTATCAGTACTAGCCTTTAAGGGACTGTGTAAAGCTCCATGTACTGGTCAGCAGATTTTAGTCATTCTACCTCTTTATTATTTTAATAAGTGAAACTCGTAGGTGTGGTGGCAGGATTAGAGCGAAAACCACAAAACAGGGTGTGGGTGAAACCTTTTGTATATTACTCCTATTAGTCATCACTTTCTGATATTTAACGTGCACTAGTTAATAGGAAATTTAAAGTTTTCTGCACTGATTTGTTTCATCAGTGATCTCTCTCTGTGTTCAGACCCTGAGAGGGAAGGAATAATCTTCCTGTGTAATGTATTGTATTGTATTGTATCATATTGTATTTTCTGCCTAATGTTTCTTTATAAGCACTTTAAGAACATTCAAAGGAAAGATCTCTTCAAAGAATTTTATCATAGAGATGCTCAGCAACTATGATGGACCCCCAAATTTTAGTGAATAAACTTAAAATGACTTTGGAGTTTCCAGAAATATGAATGACTGAAAAAGCCTCAATCGCACATGTTTAAAAAATTGCCACGAAGGGGAAAATTTTCCACTGTGTCCCTTCCAGCACCTTCCTTGCTATATACCATGTATCCCGAGGATCCCTGCTTTCCCTCTTCTACCTGCTGCCACAATGACCAATGGAATGAAAAGAATTGTCCTTGAGTCCTCTTCTATTATTGTAACATATTATTTGCTTGAATTCCTTCCTAGAATGGTTTCCCTTCTCATGATCACTACCCAAACCTGTTTTCTCTTGATGATTTGAATTTCCTTCTAATGAAAGCAGCACCTCTAGACTCCAAGGAAGGAAAGCACTCATCCCCACCCCCACCCCACCAGTGTGTCCCTTCCTCTACACAAATGACTACAAGCTTTTAACAGGTTCACTTTTCTGCTCTTCCCCCATCCTGTTGCCATTACTGACTTCCAGAGTGACTTTTACCTTCTTCATAGACTTTCTATGGACACCCTTGTTTGGAATGTCATCATTCATACCCACAATACTTTGAACAATCTTGCCTCCAAACAACTTGCTAGCTTCAATGAGGTGAAATCACATCTGGACCTACCTTGTTGGAATTTCACTACGGCCATTCCTGTGAACGCTGACATTCTCTCTGATGGCTATCTCCTATGCACCAAACTCTCCTTCATTCTCAGCCCACTGGCCTCCAGCCTTTCACTCTCTCTTTATTCTCTCATTGGTCCCATTCTGTGCTCATGGAAAGGCATTTTAGGGATGCTTGTATTAGTCCCAGATATTGTCTCCCATCTTGTACCTTATTATAGATTTATCCACACTGCCCCCGTATCTGCAGCTGGGGTTCACCCCACCATCTCTACCTCTTTTCTCTGAGTCTACTTTCACAGCCCCAGAGGTGCTGAAAGAATGTCATCACCAAGACTCTTGTTCCCACTACTAATTCATGTTATATAACCTGGACTGGGCCTTAGGGATTCCTGAGGTTGTCACTTTCTATTGCCACCCCTCCCCACTACTTGTCTTGCTTATTACCCCATAGCTTCTTTCCCTTTCCTCATATTTAAGCCTGGCACAGTAGGCAATATGTCCAATGAATACAAAACCAAATCTAAACCATTCCAGCTGTCCCTATTTTCTCTTACTTTACAAGGAGTTTTGGGACATCTAACCAGTAATACTTGTTTCATTGAAAACAAGGCTGTCAATCCAGTTATCCAAGACAAACATCTGGGTGTTTCCCTGGGTAGCTCCTCTCATGCCACATATTTAATCAGTTATGAGGCCTCTTAGTTCTACCACCTTATTCTCTAGCATGTATCACTTCTCTCTATCCCCGCTGTCCTCCTCCTATCTCAGGATATTATTCCCTGCCACAACGAATATTCTAACAGTCTTGTTCCTTTCCTTGTGTTCTCTACACTGCTATTGGAATGACTTCTAAGCACAGAATGGATTGCAGTCACTCCTCTACTTAAAACTCCTCCAGGATTCCCTACTGTTCTCAGGATCAGTTCCAAACACCCAGAATGCATTCAGGGTATTTGTGGGATATAGCTACTGATGAGCTCCCTGACCTCACCTGTCCTATTAATCCATCTGCATTTCCAATAATTCTCCTGCCTGTACACATACTCCTCCCCCCAATGGAACATCTTTTCTTCTCACCACTCCTGTCCCCATATCTATTTTGTGGATAATTCCTTTGGATTATAAGGGCAATTCTTTATGACAGCATTTATCTGGCCATTGAAGATTACGTAGGGCCCCACCCATCCATTGTGTTTCCACAACCTGATGTGCAGAACACTTACAGGACAGAATACTTATTTCCCTAAATTGAAATTGGACTTTCATGTGTCTCGTATCTCTTAGCTAGTATTGTGTAACAGGATATTAAGTTGAAAAAAATCAGTGGAGGCGTCAAGAGATGATAGATATCAGATACCAATGTGAGCTGTGAATCAGACCACCAGCAGTTTTAAAGTAAGTTGATTAAGAACTCATTAGGTGACCTATAAAACCCTCACTTTTATCAGGAATATGGAAAGCTCAGGAATGAAGATTTGTAAGGAGGGTGATTTCAGGGAGACCTGTGCTAGAAATCATACTTTACTCTCCTCCTCCATCTCCTGGCCCACATTGCATAAAGTAGTTGAGATTTATTTACATTACATGCTAGGAGCTAATATTAATATTAACCAACCAAATGTAGTCTGCATCTAAATTTCTGTTTTGTCACTATTACTCACCTCCTTTCTTCCTGTCTCAGACAAATTGGTTTTTTTCCCATGTCCAAAGGTAAGTCCCATCCTAGCTTTTCATTATTTCTCCTTTGTACTTCCTTTAGGAAATTCATTCATTAATCTTTCCTTCTCTCTCTTCAATTTCAATTTCAACCTTGCACTCAATCTTTTCCCCTCTATGAATATATACCAATTTCTCTTATCATCAAAAAACAACAACATGTGACTTCTGCCCAAAATAGAATAACTAAGACTGGATTCATCTTTCCAGCTAAAACAAATTCCAGACAAAATATGTGAAACCCTGGTTTTTAGACATTGCACATCAGACAATGCAAGGTAATGATCCCTTAGGAATAAGAAAAAAAGTAATGTGAACCATATTATTTTCTCACCTTGGAACAAGTTTCTAGAGTGAGGGAGGAAAATCCTGGTGGAGGCCAGGGGTTGAGTTGGTGAAGCTGGATTTGAGGGTGCCACAGAGCTGAGTTCATAGAGTACTAGTGAGGAAAGATCTGAATGCAGAGAAAGCTTGGGAAGTCAGAAAAGAGTCTCCCTTAAATCTTCAGATGAGTGCTAATCATTACATGAAGGTAAGTAACTTATCCGAGGCCAAGGAAGAAGCATTCAGAAAAGCAGAGGAACAATCCCAGGAGTTCATACATGGCTGGGAACAGTTTTTGTTTCCACCACCTGCAGCGAAAAATTTCCTAACTAATAGAGCACTGGATAGAGTACATAGAAAAATACTGTCTCGATACTGAGACGTAGCCTTAGATGAAAGTCTGCTCCGGTCCATCCTTACAAAGCTTTTCTAAAAGCCTAAAAATGCTCAGACTGTGTCTAGATAACTCAATTGAATCATAGAAGAATCCTTAAGAGTATTAAGGAATACAAAAATGTCTAGCACCCAAGAAGAAAAAATTCACGGGGGCACCTGCGTGGCTCAGTTAGTTAAGTGGCTGCTTTCGGCTCAGATCATGATTCCAGAGTCCTGGGATCGAGCTTCGCATCAGGCTCCCTGCTTACAGAGAGGCTGTTTCTCTCTCTCCCTCTGCCTGCTGCTCTGCTTACTTGTGCTCTCTCTCTATCTCTCTATCAAATTAAAAAAAATCATAAAAAAAAGAAAAGATTCACGTTGTTTGGCATCCAATTAAAAAGACAGGTATGCAAAGATTCAGGAAATATGAAACATAATGAGGAAATATCAACCACCATAAACAAATCCAGAAATGGTACAGATGATTGTATTAGTAGAAAGAATATTAAG